TTTGAAAGCGCAACTGCGGAACATTTGCCGATTGTTGTTTCGTGACAAAGCAGCTTCAAGTGACACGAAGCCAGAATGAACGTAAAGCACGAAGACTACGCAAATACGTGTACTACCCATAATTTTCTTGTTCGCTCGAGCCCCAACGTTGCAACTCCCATAGACACCAGCACCAGAGCTCTCTCTATAGTGTATATTTAGGAAACTCTATGGTGACGACGCGATCACGTTGACGAGGCGACTCCAGGCACGCGCTCAGTCGATCTTGTTGAGTGGCGAGCTGCCCATGTGACTGAGCAGCGTGACCAATCGCTCGTGAGCGTCGGTCTGACGGCCTCGATCGCAAAGAGACGCACAGCCCTTGACAAGCACGCGCACTCGGTGACTCCAAAAGGGGCGTCGAACAGCGAGTACGTGTGGAATGACCACTCTCTCAACAATTGAGCGTTCTTTCTCTTTCTTTTTTTTTTCTTCTTGCTATCTTTCGGCTGGTGAAGTGTATTTCAAACGGCGAGACCGCTAACATTTCTGATGTGCAAGCAATGAAACGCGAACAGTCCATGCAGGACACCACGCGTCCTCGGTAAACACGAAGTACTTACCGTGTTGCCGATGGGTTTACAATGTTCTCGATTTCGTTTGCTCCTGCGCTGGGTGACCTCAGCTGCGGCGGCGCTGTTTAGGTGCTGACGGTGGCAGACCCAGCTGATTTTACAAGAAAAAAACAAACGTAAACGTGAGCAGGGCGCCTCGACGCCAACCAATGCCGGCTCTGCCTATACGCCAGCTTCGGACTAACGCACCAGACACGTGCGGGACAAGCAGATGGGGCTGTATCTTGCAAACGCTCGCGAGCGTGCAGTCAACTGTTGGCAGAGCTCGACAGACAGTAGGATATTCACATACCCGATACGGACGCTATGTCACCGTGGAACGAATGCACGCAAGTCGATGTGTGTTCGACGTATGACGAATCATGTCGTGGCTAAATTCAACGGCGGCCCCTGCATAGCCTCCAATCCACACACTTAGGCAGGGAGTTGCCACCTGAATCATCGTTACTATATTAGCTTATCCAGTAACGTTAGTATGAATAGCGTTATTTAAATGCGAATGCATTTCTTAGTCGGGATACGCCAGGTCTCTGGCGTTGTCCGCGCCCTGGCGGGTGTTATCTCTCCGCCCTCACTCCCTCTCTCATAGCAACAGCTGCGGGCGCGCGTACTTATCCTCGCCCCTAGCAACCGGAGCACGTGGTGCGAGAGAATGTAGGCGCAGTGATTCGCCGCTCTTTCTCTCGCCGTCCGCGCTCTCTCCTCCCTGCGCCCCGCTCTCCCGTTAGCTCGCTCCCCACTCTGCACCGTTCGCTGTCTGGACGCCTCTCAAGAGCATCCGGAAATGTGTGCTCGAGACGCTACTGTGAAATAAGCACCGTTCAGTCGAGTTTGCCAGTCTGAATGCAGCGCCAGAATACATAGCCTAGCGGATAAAAAAAAAAATACCTTGAGACGGCATCGGTGAAAATGAAACGCGACGCGCGCGTCTCGCGCCCTGCGTCTGTCGGCGGATCGTGGCCGGGATACATGGGGGACGCGCGCACGCGTTTCTTTTCTGCTTGCTCCTAACGGCGAAAGTCAGAAACTTTGAGACGGGGTAGTGTGACCAACGTAGCTCCCTCTGGTCAGTGTGCGGTGCCCATGCTAACCCCGAGCCGAGAACAATCTTTGTTTTGTTCACTTCATAGTACTTTTTTAACCGTGAACGCTATCTAGAGCTGGAAACTCGTATCACATTCTCGCGACGGAAAAATACCACGAGCGATGAACGGCGCCTTTGGTGACATAATGTAAGGAAAAAAAAAACATTATTCTTTTAACGCTGGGTTCTCACGTGCGAAACGCCGTTGACGCTACGTAATGCATTCGCATTTCCTCACGATTCCCTTCGGGGAGGTAAGGGCTTTTTTTTTTCGCTACGTGGGACCACACAACCCGCTGAATAAAGTATACACGTCTAGTACCATTTACTGTAACTCATGCTGCAAATTCACGAGGTTGAAGGGTGCCTGCTGCTTTATTTTTTTAGAAGCTGCGACCATTAAAATTGAATAAAGTGCTACTTCAACAGCAATAATAATAATAATAATAATAATAATAATAATAATAATAATAATAATAATAATAATAATAATAATAATAATAATAATAATAATAATAATAAGCTTCTGGCTATGCCCCGGGTCCGCACTTCTGACTCCTCTCAGAACAGGTGTGCAGCAGTAAAACGTTCCGGCAGGCTAGTTCATGCATGGCTTAAAAACTTCTTAAACTGCGCAAGGAGACGAAGACACAGGAAAACATTCAGAACACCACGAGTGCTCGTGGTGCTCAGAATGCTTTTTTTATTATTATTTGACTCGTGTTTTTGTTTCCTCGCGCAGTTTAAGAAGTTTTCCAACGTGTGCTTGCTTGCTTGGAAAACTTTTATTGCTGGTGCAGTAGCAGGAAGTTTGAGGAGGCCCAGCGATGGGCACGCGGACGATTGCAGTTTGGACGTCAGTAATGGAAGAGATGCGCCATCTAATGTTGCCTAAGCGGTGCACCGACCGTTCCCTGCACTCCGTCATTCGCACGCCATCTCCCTTCCTTTCGTCTTCGTGCTACCTTTCCGCTACACATAATAGCACGCCAGTGGTAACCTGAGTCCCGGACATCCTGAGTGAGCACCGGTATTGTCTGCCAACATGTAACAAAGGGCCTGTGTTGAGATCCGTTCGACGCAGAGAAATGTGATCGCGTGGATGCGACATCGGACAGATGCGGTTCGGGCGCAAAGGCGTCGCATTGCGATCTACTGCAAGCTGAGTCGTTTACATTCGCAAAAAAAAAAAAAGGAGAAAAAGTAAGAAAGAAGAGAAGAGTGAGAGATATGTCTTAACGCTGCATGGCCAGTAAAGGTTCTGTCGATACTGACGAGAGCTTAGAAACAGAATGCTAAGAACAGTAAAAAAGAAAAAAAAATGCAGACGTGGTTAACGATACACGTGACAGTGAAAGAGTCAGCTGCGTATATCTACGTTGAACAGCAATACGTGAAATAAAATTGAAAGCATCCATTTTCAGTAGGCAGTTCACAGCATCCAGCTCAGAGCCTATGCTTGATAACGTGGAGTTATGAGCAATATTGCGCTTAATGACTATTCCGGGAGGAGAAGCGTGTGGTTGTAGCTAATAAATCATTTAACTTGTTTAGTTAGCCTGTCCTATGGTAAAGTTATTACGACGTTTGGTCCTCGCGGTTACTGCTTATTTCATTTACATTATTAAAGTCATGATCAGATTTCAAGGACACGTAGCTGCTTTCATGTACCGATCCCCCCCCCCCCCCCTAAACGTCCTTAGTTCTTCAGTCAGCGGCGTTGCTTTAGATAGTTTTGTTCTTTTTGCTTGCATGCACGACATTCAGAGCAAGTGCCACTGGTAGCAAATGGTAGCGAAAAAGCCCGCAATTTTTTCGGTATGCTGTATGGAAAATGATATCTGGCTGAGAAACGTATGTTCTGTTATGATACCAGGTAACTATAGGGCTCAATAATGCACGGACCAACATACTGTAAGCATTTATAAACACGTCGTGTCTTCATGTGTATTCGTAACATGGCTGATCCAGCTGGAGATAGCAAAGTTTATTCGTTTCATCTTTAATTACCAAGCTGACCGGACGCTCATCGAATAAATATTATAGTCATGAACAACAAACTTATATCAAGCAACACAAATTCTGTCACCGTTGAGAAGAGCAGTAATGCCAGTCAGAGATAAAGATTATGTTTACTAATAGTGAAAGTTGAGCTTAATGAAGTAACGTTTTTACATCTTATGTGTCATGCAGCTAGCATTGTCAGAACTTAACATAGATGCACCTACCCGATCCGTGATCGCGGATTTTAACGACGGCGAGAGAAGGGGAAAGAATGAGAACTTTATTGCGTGACCAGTCTTGAGCCTAAGAGTGACGGACCTTCTCCGTCGGGGTAGGCATGACTCACTGATGCCGCTTGAGTCCTGTGTACTACGGAAAAATGTAAATTAATTGACATGTGTTTACAAACAGTAAAAAGTGATTGTAGGATTGCCGGAGTAACATCATACGTAGTAAAAATAGCAGAGGTACGATAAGATGTTGCTTTTACAGTGAATTAATTTGCTTCAGAATTAGGTCACTTTCCCGCGAGCAATGAAAATGCTACGCCGAAAGTAAAAAAAAAATCTCAGCATATCCACGGAGTGAATGATGATGAGTAGGGCGAAACTTCGAGGGTTTTCAGCTCGGGATCCGCCTATTTTTATGCGCGTTTTGCCGCCACCTCTCGGGAACGCGTCTTCAACGCATCTGTATGTCTGTCTGTCTCTGTCGGTCGTTTGGTCCACCCTTCCGTCCGTCCATCCGTCCGTCTGTCTGTCTCTGTCGGTCGTTTGGTCCGTCCGTCCATCTCTGTCGGTCGTTTGATCCGTCCGTCCGTCCGTCCGTCTCTGTCGGTCGTTTGAACCTTGTGAGAACATTGTGAGTGAACATTAGCTACGACAACGGAGGAGGGACTGAGCCATGCAGTAAGGAGCTTCGCCCCTAAAATAACAAAAAAAAAAACTTACGCCGTCCGAAGTGCGTTGGAGGGGGGGGGGGGGTCTTCTCGATCTGGGCAATAAGTATCGCCATGGATAAGCTACTATTCCTGCCCATTAGCAAGACACGACATGCAATAAATACGACTCCCATTAATGTGCCCGAAATTTAGGCTCGCGCACTGCGCCATTCAAGCGAAGCATGCATTAGCAAGTGCGTTTGAAAGTTTGACCACTCTTAGTATGTTTGCATTGGACGGCCTGGTTGAAACACTGCTTTGACACGTACAGTATATTGTTTACTTGTGATAGCTTGGCTGAAGTTTTCGGAGGAAGAATTATTTTAACGTGAACAATTCTTACCTTCGATGCAGTACGTCGGGGCTGGCGCATGCGCCGATCCCAACTACCAAAAATAACATGCCCCTCCTACCCGTTTGGAGCAGGGGCGTGCTTCAGCCCCCCGTAGTGCTATGAAGAAGCCTACTCACGGGGACCCCGATTTCTTGATCATCGGAGAGCCCGGCACCAAGTAAGTATGCACAACCTCCTTGTGTAATGGCCGGTTACTCTTTCCTTTTCGCTATGCCAGGAGCGCATAGAAGCATTGAAATGCCGCAAGATCAGAGAAACAGAAGGTGTGTTCGACTACAAACCTAATATTCAAATTTGCTCAACTGCTGTATGACGAGAAATATTGACGATATTACACGCCACCCGTGAAAACAAAAGAGCGAACATTTACGAGCATTTGGTCTGGTTTCTGTCGGCACTTGCGCGTTGTATGCGCCGCAGAGAGCACAGACTCCTTCAGTCGCAGCAGCAGCTCACTCGCAGGCGCACCTTCAAACTAACGAGGGTCTCTTTGGTTGCGTGGATACCTACCACGCCACTCAAACTGATTTTTTACAAAACATTAATCCGTTCCAAACTTGAGTATGCTTCTGCTGTTTGAGATTCGTGTACTGCCAAGCTAATCGATTAACTTGAACGTGTTCAAAATAACTCTACTCGATTCATTCTTCATAACTACCGCCAGACTGCTAGTATCTCCTCCATGAAACTAACGAGTCTGACGTCACTTGCTTCACGCCGTTATTTTTTTGGACTCCGCCTTTTTGACAAAGTTTACTTCCGTAACATCCATCTTAAGAACGAACTAATCGCTAAAACATTCTATCACTCCATCCGCATTGATCACTTCCACAAAGTTGGAATCATTTCCTGTCACACTGAGCACTGTTATCATAGTTTCATTCCGCGCACATCACAGGATTAGAAACGCCTTCTCGGAAGCATCGCTTCCATTGAAGACCATCACCTGTTCAAAACGACATTAGTTAACATTGTGTAGGTAGTAACCCAAGAACTTGTATTATACATGTTCTTTGCTACGTTTCCTGTTTGCTTTTATTTGTTTTTTTTACTACTCACTCCCCTCTGTACCGCCTTTGGCCTTGAGAGTACTAATAAATGAAATGAAATGAACTCCACCGAGAAGAGGACGACAGCAAACAGACTGGCGCGAGCTCATCGTTTGGCCGCTGAGCTCAACTAACCAGTTGTAAATACACATATTCCCTCAAGCCTGCGCCTGATGTCTTCTTCGTAACATATTTGGTACAGGTGTGGGGCATTGATCCCCGTACCTTTCACTAACATATCTGCTGTCATCCTCTTCTTCGTAGTGTTTATCGCTATGCCACTGGTACGGAGCCTTATGATCAAATAACCACCTCAGTTTGCTTTACTTATACCTAACGCACGCTATTCAAGAAATCTGTTCGCAGACATACTCGCCACATCACTTTTACAGCGTCTGCCAATGGAAGGTTTGGTGCAAATAACGGAGAATATACGAATTAAAGGCATGAACGTACCGTAGGACACTAGAATTCTAGATCACGGAGGGAGGGGGAGGGGATTTATTTGTCTGATGTCTCGAGGTCATATGCACCCCGCTTTATCTTATCTTCTATTATGGTGTTTTCGTTGCGCTGGTAAAGGTGACCTTGATGCACGCAAGGATGATTTTCTGTTGAGAAAGAGCGCCTCCTCGGTAAGCTGTGTACGACGTCATATGCAGTAAGCAAGTCGGTGTCATCGAGGCACCGGAAGTTGTTGGCCGCGCAGCACGCATATTTAATAATAATAATAATAATAATAATAATAATAATAATAATAATAATAATAATTAGTATTATTGGGGTTTAACGTCCCAAAACTACGATATGATGAGGGGAAACGCCATAGTGATGGGCTCCGTATGTTTCGACCACCTGGGGTTTTGACGTGCACCTAAATCTAAGCGCACGGGCCTCAAGTATTTTCGCCTCCATCGAAAATGCGGCCGCCACAACGTACATTTGGCCTCTTCAGACACCTGCAATGGGGGTGGAATACGAATTCGCAACAATTAGCCTGCAACTTGAGTACTTACACGCATCACGTGTCCCCTTCGCCCTATTGAAAGCTCTGTCGATCATTTTGAGCGGTTCTTCCGTCTTCGAGCAGGACAGCGCAGGCTCCCACTGCATCGTTCATTGTGTGTTGTTTGTTGGCACCACCTTTGAGATTGTGCGGGTCCATGTTAGAACGTTGGGTGTTCTCTCACAGCAGACATTTGTTTCTATATGTTGCCGGACAGATTTTGCTGAGGAGTCTGCGATTTATATGGATATGTATCAGTCTGCAGCTGTCTGCAGTCAACTGACTGCCCTCTATTGAGGTCTTTCTCGTGATGGAGTTCAATATCCCTAAGGGCTTTTCGGTGTTCTAAAACTTGTCCTATGCGACTATAGTGCACCTCTCGGATGGTAAGAAACTAAGGGTTTGACCCGAATATGCGTTCCGCCGTTATCCACAAACAGCCTGTACGCGCTAAAGAATGAAAATAGGACACAAAGTTGAGTGGGGGAGGGAACAGAAGAATATGCATGGCGGTTTTTCTGAGCATCCCGTCCACAGCAAGATTCTCCTTCAAAAGGGACTCGCTACCTTGTATGCGACGAAACTTTATATGGGTGATTCCACGAGAGATCGACACGGGTCCAAAAGTTAATATTTTAGATTTAATTGAGTATTTTATATTTCGTGAACCTCTCACCAGGTAGCCCGAAAGTCAACTTCGTTTTATGATTAACGGCATAACTTACGAAAAAAAAAAAATCAAACTTCACTAACACGGAGGCACCAACTTCGTCACCTGTCATTTTCGAAAATTGCAGATGCTATAAAAAGACAAATATTTTTGTTTCAAGGAAGATATTTTTTACATGAAGTGTATGTCTAAGGAAAAAAAATTCATACGGTTTCAAGTTTGCAGACTTTAATAAAACAGCTTTCAAAGATGTCTAATTTTGCGAAAGTTTAAAAAAGGTTACGTATTCATTTTTTTCTCCGAAAGTAATGCAAGCAGCGTTTTCAAACTTGACACGTTTTAAGAATATAGTGCTTTCATTAGTTACATAAATTATTGCTGCCGTAGGGCAAATGTAAATTTTTATATATTGCCTCAAAATTCACATATTGGCAAAAGTGTACTCCACTGAAATTCGAATAATAAAAAAAAACCCATCTTTGATTTTTCTTGAAATCTTCTAAATAGACAACCGAAGTCCATCATACAGTAATATAAAAAACATGTTGCATTATTTTGTTTTTATCGACAATATTTGTGGTACAAATCAGAGCTTTTCGAGAATGCGCCGATAAGTTGAGAAATCTAGAAATCGGAACGGAAAACCAGCAATGAGTTTCAGACGCAAGTAAACATGACCGCATTTGGTGAAGAAAGGCTGTTTTAGCAGATAGGAGTAACTATTTGGAACACGATATTCTACAGTATCTGAATTTACTCTTATACGTAGAGCACTGAGACTTCTAATATGTGGTGCCTCTCCATTACTGACGCACAGATGGAGCTGCTGCGATGGCCATGTGTTTGCAACACGTTAGGTAAGAGGATTGAATGTTGAATGAGTTCTTAAACGATTCATAAGAAATTTTTGTCATTTGGGGCACGAAGACTGCCGCATTACACTGAAGAACACGCTTTAGGGCAAGTTGTCATCCGTCGTCTGCTCTACAAATGAATTGCTGTGTGGCACATCTCGGAGGCAATGCTTTAGATCATATGGTTTAAAGTAGGGACAAAAATTACGCCTCCCGAAATTTTATCGACAAAAACATTGTGAAATTCATTTTAACGTACTACACTTCAGTTTTGCCTTCGCACTACGGATACTTGCGCATGCTGTTTTACGTCTGCTCTCATTAAAGGTGAGAGACATAAGAACAGACGACAGATAGATCACTTTCGTGCTGCTGGTTTCACGCATAGTTGCATTGCCAGTAATTCGAGCCTCAAGGAGCGTGGCGATGGCTGACCACTTCAGCCGGGATAGAGTTTTTTGTTCAGATTACCTCATGTTGCTTAAAAAGAAAATACCTTATCAAAGAAACTTCCGCAAGGTCGATGACATCGGCCTGTTTGCCCTCCAGAAGCTTTTGCCGAAAGCTGCCCACCATGCACAGAACAACGACCGCGTCTACCAGAACTGCTTCAGACGCCTCAGAGATATGCTGTCTTCGTCTAATGGCTTCTCAGCTGAAACAGCTGATGAGTTTTTGCCGGAAGAAGAAAAAGGCAGAAGTCAAGAGCGGTGTGTAAACACGCCTGAAGCATTGTCACATATGCGACTGGAGAAGCTGTATGCGCAAAATAGCAAAGTTCATGCAGAGCCAAGACAACTTGGCAGCAATTCTACAGTAACCGTGAAATGCCACCGTAACGTGTGTAACCGCCACTTTCAACCATCAGATCTAAAATGCAGTGTATGTGCCCAGTGGTTCAAGAACTTCAAGCAAGCCTATTAAGCGTGTTCTTCGTATCAAGAGCGCATGCGTTTGTTGACACTGTTGCCGAGCGATATAGAGCGCCAAAAACTCCAAGCGCTTATACGAAACTTGTCATCTTACATGATATACAGATCCCGACGCTGGCGTGCAAAACACGGGATATGGCTATAGCACCAAATGTGGTAACGGTAACGGCTGAACCCAATGGACGTCCAGGCAGCTATGGCTTACTACTCCAAATATGAGTATAGCTGCTCTCGGCAGAGTCCCAACAAAAAAGATGCAGTATCTGTTATCATTGACGGAAAAAAGGAGCTTGTTTCGAAAAGGTTTATGACCCGTTCGGTGCGAGAGGCTTACCGTCTCTTTAGAGAAGCTAATCCGAACACGTCTATTGGGCTCTCAAAGTTTTATTCACTGAGGCTGAAGTGGGTTCTTCTTGCACCATACCAAGAAGTATGCCTTCGTATATACTGTGCTAATGCCACGGAGTGTGTTTTTGCCCTACAAGACGTCACCGATGGTGCCTACACGGCGGACTTCTTGAAAGAACTATGTCTTTGCAGCTCCCCTACAAGTTATTGTTTTTAGGCCATTGTGACTACTGTGCTAAGGAGGACGCTCTGACAGCCACATGTTTAGGAATCCCTGAAGATATTGAGGTAGCCTATGCAGTATGG